GGACTTTGGAAAGTCGTCAACGGCGATGATGACTATGAAGACTACGATACCAAGGAAGACAAGGCGTTCGACCATCTCGTCAACTCCCTCGACGACGACAACCTGGCCTATGTGTCCCATGTGGCGACCTCGACTGAAGTGTGGTAGCTCCTGGTCGAACGATATGATGCGTAAACGTATGCGGACGTGTCGCATGTCATCCACGAGCTCGACACCAAGGTGTATGATACTGGTACCTCGATGCACAAGCACATCACGGAGCTGTGCATCCTGCAAAAGAAGCTGCTTCTCATGGGATCTCGTGCGGACCATGACATGCTCGGTCATGTTCTGTATACAAGTGCCAAGAAGCGTACCCAACGACAGTGCAGATTTGGCGCAGTCAAGAACCGTCTCCAACTGGCGCAGATCATAGACCGCCTACTATATAAGGAAAGCGAAACGAAACGTGCGATGCCACTCAAGCGCAAGGTGGACGACGACTAAGTGCTCCAGCCGTGGAGGAAGCATGCCAAAGACAAGTGCCTCTACTGCCACAAGATCGGCCACCATGCCATCGTATGCAGATTCACGAAGCGCGACTTGGCCAAGGGCATCCGTCGCAATTACTTACCAACACCTGAAGACCATGAAGTCAATATCCTTGATGACACTGACCAAGGCTTCATTCTGGCTACAACCCAGGTCTCCATCGACTTCTCCGATGGATGGATCCTCGACAACGCATGCACGGCGGACGTGACTGGTGACGAGAACAAGTTCAAGAAATTGTCCAGATGTGGCCTCGTGATGCTGAGTCTTGCAGGCAACTCCACGGTGACGGCGACTCATAGTGGCGCTTCAGTTAGACGAAATTTATCGCCTCGAGCGGGCAAGTGCCAAGTATGTGCCTGTTGTGACCAAGAACCTGATGACCTTTTGTCAGCTCAAGAAGGATATTATTCGAACTTGCGCGTTGGGATCTGTCCAGTGCCATCATGATCATGGATACGAGCATACTCAAGTTTGAGGAACACCGCGGCCTGTATGTCCTCCGACCCCATGCAGTACAAGGCAACGCATGCGTTGTGCGTGAAACTCTTCCAAAATTGGTTCAGTGACACGTTCGTTTGGTCCATCTCAACTTTGGCGCAATCAAGCAAGCAGCACGTGACGGTGTCGTGGACGGCCTGCGTTTGACGAAGTCCGATCTGGCTAAAGCGAGAAGGATGAGAAACAAGAACACCCATCCATACCGTGCACAAGTGCCTTGGAGCGCGTGCACATCGACAAGGGTGGTCCAATCACGCCGCCAATTCTCGGTGGCAAACGACACTACGAGCTGTACGTGGACGAGGCATCGCGTTTCGAGCGGTTATTTTTGCTCGAATCCAAATCGGAAACTCTGGCGAGCTTCAAGAAATTCCACGTGCACTCGGAGCGTTTCGTGCTCTGAAAAACTCAAGGCAGTTATGACAGACAACGCCAAGGAGTACCTGGACAAGGACCTCAAGGCGTAGTGTAGCCTCAGCATCGAGAAACTTTTCACCAACGATTACTCGCCCGAAGAAAACTGCATCGCCGAGAAGCCGAACTACACCATCATGAACAAGGTTCGGTGCATCCTGCAAGCCTTCGGCATGGCCAACGAATACTGGGGTGATGCACTCTACTAGTAGTGTACACCAAAAACCAAAGTCCCACCAATGCACTCGGTGGCAAGACTCCGTGTAAAGCTCTTCATGACCGGAAGCCAAACATCGAGTACCTTCGGTCGTTTGGATGCACTGCTTCTGCTTTTTATCGGCAAGGCCAAGCGCACAAAGCTGGACCCTGAGCGACAAAGTGCGTGTTTGTGGGATACTCAAGTCAATGCAAGAGCTATCGACTCATCGAAGTGGACTCCGGTGGTCTGTTTGAATGCCGTTCAGTCAAGTTCGTTGAAGATGCATCGCCGAGTCCTACGAAGCAAGTGCGATTTGACTCTGAAGACGTTCGGATTGACGAAGCTCATGCTGCACCTGACAACGACGACATGCCAGTCGAAGACGAAGTGCCATTCGACTCAGTGGAAGTTCCTCGTTAAGAAGCTTCAGTGGGAGCATCAAGTGCGAAGGTGAATGTCGTGTACCCAACACCTGCACCAAGTTCCGAAGATCAACACGAATTGGACGAAAACACCGCACCTTCAGGCACCAACGCCGAAGACTCGAACGACTCGTACATGAAATTCGACTACAACCCAAGTGGCCTCCAAGCAATCTCCGGTGGTCACCACCCAAGCAAATTCGGTCGATGTAGGGAATGACACACCCCAGTCGTTCAAGGACATCGAAGAAAGTACTAACAAGACCAAGTGGCTCGAAGTGCTTCGACTCAACACGCTGCGCTTGATCCTGTGGTTGCTTGCAAAACACAGTTGGAACGTGCGTCAAATGGATATCGTGACTGCGTTTCTCAACGGCGCCATGGATGAAGACACGGAAATCTATATGAAGCAGCCGCCCAACTTCGTCGTGCCTGGCCTCGAGAACAAGGTGTGCAAGCTCGTCAAGGAGATCTACGGTCTGAAGCAAGCCCCAAGATGCTTGTACTTGACACTGCACAAGTTCCTGGTCGAAGTCGGATTTGTGCGATGCGTCAAGTAAGCTTGCCTCTACATCAAAAGAATGGGATAATCAGTGGTGCTTTTGACTGTGTACGTCGACGACATCACGGTGACCGGCAATCATGACGCCGATCTCGAGATGGCCTGCGACACACTCAAGAGCAAGTTCAGATGACTGCCCTTGGTCTACTCAAGTCAATCCTCGGCATTCAAGGGGACATTAAGAACAACGTCGTAACTATGTCCCAGCAAGCTTACGTGGACGCACTTTTGGTCAAGTTCATATTCGTCGACAGCAACCCCGTCTCGACACCCGAAGTCATCGGCCAAGTGCTCAGTCCAAGCAAACTCAAGGCAGAAGAGAGTGCACAAGCTTAACCTCCCATACCACGAACTCGTCGACAGTCTGCAGTATCTCGTGGTACAAGACCCGAAATCGCGAATGCCGTGCGCAACTTAAGCAAGTACTTGTCATGCTACGACGAGAAACACTGGAAGCAAGCCAAGCGGGTGGTGCGAAGTCTCAAGGGCACCAAGGCGGCAAGTCTCAAGATCGACTGCACCGATCATGTGAGAGCGTTTCAAGTGGAAGCATTTTGCGACGCCGACTTTACCAACGGAGAATATCGCAAGTCCATGAGCGGCTTTGTGGTGATGTTTGCCGGCTGCTGGATATCGGCAAGATCAAGGATGCAAACCATCGTGGTGATGTCGACGGCCGAAGCCGAGTACATTGCACTATCCGACGTGGTCAATGGGTTGATTTGGTACTCCGAGCTACTCGAAGAACTGGGATTCCCCCAAGGAAGAATTGTCGTCCACTGCGACAGCCAAAGTGCAATTGCGATCGCGAAGAACCCAGGCCAACGTGAGCGAACGAAGCACATCAGCACCAAGTATCAATTTGTGCGGGAACACGTGGAGAAGGAACTCGTCCGAGCTAATCAAATTGCAACCTTCATTCTTTGTAGCCAATCATACTCATTTGCTCGATTCGTTGGCGAAATATAGCTCACATGTGAATATGTCAGTGGTAGAGTTCCCGCTGTTAGCATGCGGAAGGTACAGGGATCGATCCCGGCTTGGCGACATATTCCGGATAATCTTGAGGTTACTGGACAATCATTCGGCGCCTTTCCGCGATCTGTTACAATGCCAACAAAATAGTACATGACCCCTTGCGAGTACCGTACGTTTGGGCGAAACGTCTCCCAAAAAACGGGGGAGCCTACTTGTTTCGCATCTCAAGTCATTTACTAAGCTATTTAGTCCACAACATCTGACTCGAACTTGCGGATGCACTGGGCTATGTTTCAAGGCGATCAGAGCAATACTCCATGAGGAGAAGAGTGTCCCATTTGCTTAAATTGCTCCACCTTGGACATTTGGCTTCTTCTCATGACATTTCAAAATATCGAAGTATTTATAATGCCAAAACAATAAAAATTTCATCTGATAATCATGGCGGGAACTCCATTTCATCGCAGTTCAAACGCCACGAAAAGGACGATCAAAGAGCTTGTGTCGACGGACGAAGGGTACTCGCAAGTGCGCATCCAACGAGAGCAAGACCGTTCAAGCTCGGTCATCACATGCATTTCCTGTCCATGTGGAACGTGCAATTATGCACCCACCAGACCAAATACCAGCACCAACGTCCTCTGTGAAGCAGCGGCGTATTGCGTAGGCAGTGTACTACATGGACGAATTGGGTGCTCCACCACGATCTGCATGGCACGGCAGCAACGGTCCGATAAGTTGTTTCATTCGTCACTTTCGACTACCAAGGGGACGTCGATTGTGTGTTCTTAAAGTGCTCGAGAACGCCGCCACGTGTGCCAAGATGGGTGTAAGCTACGAGGGCCATGTACAATCCCATGGCGGCCAAAACAAGTTGATTAATTCTGGGGCAGTCGAAAACCAAATCATAGCTGACTGTATGGAGCGCGGTCATGGCCTTCGTGAAACGTCCTTTGCTGTCAATCAACATCGTGCGAACACTGGTGACGGCGTTATGGGTGTGTCAGCAGTTTACAGCGCGTACCAAAGGTTGAATCCTGTCGTTTCTACCATAGCCCCGATCAAACAAGGCGATACAAGTCCAGACTCGGCGTGGGCTATCGCGCGTCTCAATTTGACATCGAAAGAGTCAAGCGCCTAGCGGGTGATTGCTCTGCCTGGGTTACTGGCTCCCGCGATAAACAATCGCAAGGTAACGTTATAATTATTATATATATAATCTAGATAAATCAACGTGGCTTACAGTATGTTACTTCTACCGGTAGTTGTTTTCGAAGATGATTGCGTTTCAACACTGCGTGTAGGACCACGTTTACGAGACCAATTATGTGGCCTCGGAATTGATACTGTTGGGGCGTTGGCTGCGACAGAAATCACTTCCCTGACAACGACCTTACGTGGTGTCAGTCTGCGGCGCCTGCAGGCGTTCCAAACTCAGGCCATGCTCGCCACTCCCGAAGTCTACATTGATGCTCAGATCGATCACAGACTGGCATCCAATCCTTACCAATCCCGTTATGGGGACGATTGGGAGAGGGTAATTGATCGCTCACTGCCTTGGCAGGGCACTTCTGTGTGACAACACTCATCGAGCACATCGTCACCGAGTCGGCAAGAGTGATGCGTGGGACTCCCCACCAAGAGAACTGGGTTTTCTGGCACGATGCATTGACGAAGATGACATGCACAACTACGATCAACTGGATGAAATTCAAGTGATATCTGCACCGATGGTTATTACCGAAGCACGATCTCAACACTGGAACCGTCTTCGCAGGCAGGCCAATCGGGAACAGCCCCGAATTGATGTGTTGGGACTGTTCCCTAATCAAAGATGTGGACAATTCGTTCAAACGACACAAGGCATGGACGGCCCACCTACCTCGAGACGCCCCAGCCAAGTTTTGTGCCTCCACACCCAAACGAATCGAGTGCGTACATGCGCATCCTGGATCCCCGCCGAGGAATCGATGCCGGCGTTCATACGAGTAAACGAATTGTTCAAGACGAGACAAAATGCTTTAGAGACCACCTTTTGGTCATTATAGCTGCAGAAGGAGCTGTCGCCCATGGCCTTGGAATTCGCAATGACAAACGCCGTCCGGCCAGGGGCAACGGGCACGGTGGGAGGCGTTTGAAGTCGGTTCGTCCAACTTCCCATTGGCTCCATCCTGACGCCGAAGCTGGACTTGCTGATCAACTCAGCTTGGCGACCAGTACAGTGGAACTCTCAAATTATGTGTTATTTTTGGCACTCGTGTAGGTTTAGGTCACTGTGGTCGTTTTAATGTTGCTCTCGAATAAAAATATGGATATTTAAATTGAAAGTGATTTTTAAATTACCCTCGTACTATAGGAAACGTTTCTTGGCTTTCAAGGCAGTATTATTCGGCCGTTTCAATTATAATTTGAGGTGGCTGGATTATGTGGCTCTACCAATAACCGGCCAAAATTTGACGGTATTTCGAGCAAAATTGAAGAAGTTGTAGGTTCCGTTTGGTTTTTAACTCACAATTGAATTTTCCTTAAACCATCAAGTGTTCCCTCTACAACTCTAACCATGCAGCATGCCTTCATCGAGACGCGGTCATGGGCGCGGGCGCTGTGGTCGTTCCGGTGCATCTTCCTCTTCAACTTCACGCTCTTTTGCGCCGCCGTGGGGTTTGCACTCAACATGGTGCTGCTGTGTCCAGAGAGTCCCATCATGTACGGCCCCGACATGGGCAAGGAGCACGCGATCTTTGGGAAGCAGCATGCCAACGTCGTGACGTTGAATGTTGGTGGTCGCGTTATCCAAACCACCCGAGCCACGTTGCTGAAACACGACGGGTCGTACTTCGATGCGATGCTCACGTCTGGCCTGTGGCAGCCCGATGCGCAAGGTAGATCACCACCGTCACCTTTGAACTCACAACGACGGGTCTAGGAGGGGCGTACTTCATTGACTTGGACCCAGGGTACTTCGACCGCATCCTAAACTATTTGCGGTTTGGAGACTTGGTGCTTGAAGGGCTGGCCGATTCGGAAACGATCCTCGTGATTCGCATGATGCAATACTTGAGCTTAGATCCTCCTAGTGCGTTGGGATTGCTATGGGACCCGTCGCTTCGAGGCCACCTCTCTCTGTCCAACCAGTGCCGCACCATCACAGCAGCCAGCTTCTCGCAGTTTGCGGCCTTAGGGATGCAATCCACCCGCGTGTTTAGCCTTCTCATCGACGAAATTACGTTTATCTTAGACAAGCCGTCGTTTCGAGTCGGATTTGCCAATCGGGATGGCTTCGAGTCCGAAACCACATCCGCCGAGTCAACCCTCTGCGTGGTTGGTTGGCGTTCAAATCAACCGAGGTTTTGAGGCGCCCCCCAAAGGTGTCATCTTTGCCCAAGTCGGCGATATCGTGATCGTCCGTTATAATCCACAAGCTCAACGGCTCGATGTCCATAAACACGGAGACATTCGACATGCGGTGCAAATGCGCATGGCACTGACAGCCGACGAGGACGGACCGTATCCTTGCGTGGTCTTCATGGCGGCCCAGACGATGAAGTCGCAAGTTACGTTTGTCGAAACGCCACCAGTCTATAGGTGATTGCTGTATTTGACAGTTCAAATAGCTCGATGTGATTGGCTGGGATATGAAACCCCCAAACGAATCCGACCAATGAAAAGCGACACAAGTGCCTTCCGATAGCACATTTGAAAAATGCTTGTATTATTAAGGATTTTTGCTCGTGAAATGGACACCCTTAATTTCCAAAGCGTTTCAAGGCAGCATCGGCCATAAGCTGGCGTTTGTGGTTATGGACACACGTCGTGGAACAGTACAAGTACGTGAGTCGCGAGAACGGTTGTGTTCCCGACGGCTGGCCACACGCCGCGCACGCCGACTCTTTGGCACGTCGGGCGGCGGCGTCGGCAGCAGCTGCCTCTTGGACTCGCTTTGCCTCGGCCTCCACGGCCTTCGTCTCCTTCTTCCGCTCGGCCGCGCGCTTCTTCTTCTCCTTCGCTTTCGCCTTTTGGGCGTCTTCCATCTCGTCCGTTAGCGCGTCTGGAACCTTGGCCACGACATAATCCCATCGGTCCGGCGCGTCGGCGCGGAATCGACGAAACACATTGCGCATCTCTTTCGACGTGGTCAGCACATACGGCACCCGCTGGCGGTCGTCCAGCGCGCACGGACTCGCGCCATGCTGCAACAGCACCTCGGTGGCCGCGATCTGGTTGAGCTGGACGGCGACGTGGAGGGCGGTGCGTGCCGAGCCGTCCGTGTGCTGTGCGTTCACGTCGACGTTTGCAAGGAGCGCCGTCAACGAGGCAACTTCCCCGCTTTCCACTGCTTGGATGAGTTCTGGTGTCGGGGGTGGGGGTGGAAGGGGAACGTTCTCGGAAGGTTCTTCTTCGTCGGCGGGGGAAGGGGCGGCGTCGGGTACGTGTTTTGGGCGACGGTGTGTAACCGAAGCGGAGATGGGTTTTGGTTTGGCTTCAAACTCGGACGCGCGATACGGCGAAAAGTGCACACTGCCCAGCACCGCTCGGACACGGCATACCTATCCAACGACCTTGTCACATATTTCCCCTTGCAGTGTCACATGGTCTCGCAAGAAGAAAAACCAAACTACCTCGTCGTAGGTTGGTCGGAGCGTCCCAAACGGTACCAGGCGCAGCCGAGGGTCGGCAGCAGAGAGCCCCGTCTTGTCAAAGAAGTGGCCGCGAGACGTCTTGGCAGACCCAAGAAAGATACGGTCGCATCCACGAAGTTCCGTGGCCCATGACTGCATCAGGTCGACCATGTCTTGCTGTAGCGCTACCTCGTTGTACCGACGCAGCTGCGCGCCAGCCGACTTGGCCTTCCCAGAGGAAGCGTCGTGCGCAGACTGCGATCCGCCTTGCTTGCGTCGTGTCGTGTAGCGTTGAAAGGCCTTGTGCACGAGCACCTTGTCTTTCCGAAACACAGCACCCGCGAATCGACCTGCTCGGAAGAGCAGCACCGCCCACTGGAACGTCGAGGATGGCTGGGTGAGCGCCTGAAGCATGTCCATGGAGGCCACCCAAGGGCCTTTGATCTTGTCGCTCCACGTTGAAAATGCCGCGTTATACACCTTGTACACGACGGTGGAATCGGTGAACGCTTGCAACGGTTCCTTCGCGGTCAAAACGTTGGTTTCATCGTCGTCGTCGTCGTCGCTGCTCAACGAGATGTCCAAGGGGTGGGGAGCGTCGTCTTCGGTTTCGTTGCCGGCGTCGACGGATCGGCGACGTCGGGCCTGCGACGAAGCAAGGAACGCACTAAAGTCGTCTTCGCTCACACATTCCAGACCTTTCGACTTGCGCTTGAGGTTGTACACATGGAAATCGCTCTTGAAGTGAGCTTGTTGGGACTTGACGTCGGAGAACTCCAAGCGGCACGTTCCACACGTGAGTCCTCGCACGTCTGGGTTTCCAACGGGGACGACCGCGTCGGCGCTGGCTGTGGCGGATGCACCTCCGTGAACAACTTCTGTGGAAGAAGTGTCTTCATTTGCAAGTTTCTGTTCTCCATACACAGGGCGCCACTTGGCCAAATCGGTCGCGGTCACTTGCCATAAAGGTATCCTTCCGTACTGCTTTTGCATCTTAGCCTTGGAATTGGAAATGGAGTCTTGCTTAACAATAGTGTGGCTAGGCCTCTGATTGGCTAGCATTGGAAATACCATCATTCTGTCCTGGCGTTCGTTGAAAATTTGGTTGATCACAATGCTGACCTTCATTCTCCAATCATATTGATACACCATTGGAATTCGGGTGGGAATCATAAGTTGGGGGGCTGGCTAGACATTGGGCTACACTTTGAGCAATTCGAGCTACACATTGGACGATATAATTGGGCTTCAAATGGGTTGGGGTAGTACCTGGTATGCTCACACCAACAACCCCCAGGCGCCACGAGGGAGAGGTCTCGCTCTAGTACTCACGTGGCATCATCGTACGAGGCAACAACGACAGCATGGTTTGTATGTACATCAAGAGTAGAAGTGAAGTTACTACATCCTGTGATGAGTTGCACTTTTTGAGGCGCCATCTTCGAATAAAAAACGCTATCGCCAAAAATAGCCCTGACATGCACATGAGTTCCCCTCGTTCACCTTGGCGGTGTCGTGTCATATCCGATGTATTCTCTAGATGTGAAGCGTCTGCAGGACAAGAAGCAGCGCGACGCGGCATGGATCAATAAGAAGTTGTCCGACGACTCACCGCGGGCCAAAGAGAGTCGCATTCAGCGGGTGTATGCCAAGTCCACGTAACGAATCAACGGGAGCACAACAAAAACTGCACTACTTAAAACTGGCATTAGTGATGGCATGTACAACGAGTACAACCAACGCGTGGGCAGTTGGGCGACCGCTACCGTGGACGAATCCCCAGACTGGAAATCCAACTACGGTCACTTGACCTCCGCGGTGGCAAACCCCATGTATTACGAATGCATGCTATAATCAACGGCTCAACTTTGATTGGCACTGACTTGAGTTGGTCTGACAACATATCGTCGTAGGGTGTGGCCCCGAGAGCCCCAGAAAGAGTTGGGATCTTCGTTCATGGACGGAGGGTGGGTTTGTCGTATACCTCACTCTCGAATCAACCATTTGAATGCGCTAGAAAGTACACCCCCCACGGCATATACCGAGGTGGGGGCGACTGCCTCGTGTCGCCCATCCCCCCCGACCCGATTAAACCCGTGGTATGGTTTCTCACATCACATTTTTTAGGCAAGTTGCTTGTGTTTGTATAGTTTGACCATGGCTCGTACGACGACCCGGTTGACTCGCCGTTTCGACGACGCGCCAAGACCAAAGAGATTCAAGGGCCCCTTCGCTACAACACGGTCATCCGGGAATACCCAGACATCCCGCACGACTTTGATAGTACATGGATTGAACCCAAACCCCTTCCACAGTGGAGGTTTCCGGATCCGTCCAAGTGGTCCGGGGGGGAGTTTGGGGCGACATTCAATTCGAGAGACGTGGCGACGTCGCTTCTTGATGGCATTGGGATGCAGAAACACGCGCCGTCGATTGCCGCCACAGAGCGCTTTGTCGTGCCCCGCAGAACGAACCCCCCGTTTCCATCCCTGGTCGGTGCTACAACTTGCACGAGTGACACTGCCATTTCATTGATATCTTCCCCCTTCTCTTGTTTAGAAAAAGGGTAGCGGCGGGCATAGTCCTGTTTGTCGCGCCAAGTCGGCCCCTCACGAGAAGCTGTACATGAATTCGCTGCTGTCGGTCAACACTGCCGCGAGCCACATTGTCCTTCGAGAGTTGTCCCCGCACAAGCACACCATGCAGCGGCATCAGAAATAAAAAAATACAACCACTATTGAACGTGCTGCTGTTTATGTAGTGTTACAAAATGTAAGGAGTTCGATCTCGTAATACAAGGTCGCGTGCGGGGGAATGATGGGGGGGTACCCGTGTTCGCCGTAGCCATACGATGGGGGCAGCTCGAGCCTGGCGATTTGACCCTTGCTCATCTAGACCCATGATTGGCTTGACACATTACCTGTGACAACGTCCACCGAACTACCTTTTTGATACCTTCATCCCAGCCACGAATCACTTGGCCAACGCCTACCTACGGCAACAACATCACAGTTGTTGTATTTTGAACCATCCGTGTTCCATGTTGTGTGGCATACCTTGAATTCAAACGTCCGGCCCCGCTCGCGACTCGAGTCAAATAGCATTCCATCGGCCAACTACTCGAAGGAGTGTGAGAACATGTTCCACGTACTTAGACGATTGCACCTTGCCCAGGTAATGCACGCGTACGGTGTCGCCGTCCTTGGGGAAGTTGGTTCCGTCCCTGACGTCAGTCGTCCACATGTGAACCAGAGCAGACGCATCAATGTCTTACCCAGGCTTCACCGTCGCCAATTCGAGCGCCATCGAAGTATGTGTATTGCCACGCTTCAAGTTGAAACCGTCTCGGCAACCCCACAACGACGGTTTCACAATCGTTATCAATAAATTCGACGATAGTCGAACCTGTGAAACATTATATTATTAATATGCGAAAGCGAGTGCTATATTATTGCGACGCCGCGTTATTGTAAAAAAGCGATTCTAGACACTGACGGGGGGCGGCGCCGACGACGTGGTCTTGATCTCTTCGAGCTTGGCTCCCTTGGGCGAGATGGAGCTTTGGGGTGCCACCGTCGGCAGCTTTTCGGGCAATTCGTTCGAAATGCCGTCCTTGATGATCACCGCACGGTGCTTGACCAACACCACGGCAAATGCAAACTACATGTGAGAATCGGTCCATGAAAACACAGTCCACGTAGAGAGATGGGGGATTCAAGGAGACGTACGTAGAGCACAAACATGAAGAAGGAGAACACGGCTGACGCTTCGTCGGAGTGGACAGGTCCCTTCCAGTTGCCGTCGTTGAGCGTGCCGTTGTTGGAGCGCTTGGCAAGGTACGCGGCGCCGGCGCAGAGCACGCTGAGCGAGAACATGTTGAACGACATCATGATCACGACTCCGATGAAAAACCCGACCGCAATCGGAGTTTGGTACTTGCGCATGACCATGGTGCCGCCGATAGAGAGCGCAATCACGAGGAACATCATCCAAATGCCTGCAAATCCAAGGGACTTGCTGTACTGCGGCCCGTCGCCATTGTTGTTGGCGGCAAACACCATCGCGCCAAGGGAGAACATCACGGCAAAGAACAGAATGATGAACCACAGGTACGTGATCACGAGCTTCGGGTTGGCGCAGCAGGCCTTGGCACGTTGTTGAGCTTGTTCCGCAAACACCATCGCGATGTATGTAGCGTATCTACACGAAGGACGACGAATCGAAGAGTGAGAGGAAGAAGAACAACAGCATCATGCCATCCGCCGCGGCCGAAACCGCCGCTGATGTTCGATGTTCCACGGCCGGCGATTGGCACCTGTGGAGGTTCCATCTATCACGGCCACTCACTATGGACATACCTGAGAAGACGCTAATTGCAAAATGCAGGGTACTTCAATTCACAAAATCTTCGTTTAAAAAAATATACCACCAATGACAGGAATTCGAACTGAAATAAAATTAAATATCCACATCTCATATCACCCGTCAAAATAATACTGCTCCGTATTTTTGCATTATATTTTTAATATGAGAAAGCGAGTGCTATATTATGATTTGAATCGTTTTTAGAGGTATTTGGGGAATAATTTGGATATTCGGAGATAAAACTGATACAAATAGCGCGTTATATGATGATGGATATTATTTTGACGACTTGTTTCGAGCCAGCGACACGGGTACTGTAGCGTCGGGCGGTTGTGAAATTCAGTGCAGGAAAGCCATCCATCCCCAAATCGACGTGGCCAAAACGCACATGTGCTGCTACTAGTACCACGAATCTACACTAACGTTAGGAATGATGCGCACAGTACCTACTTAATCTACCTAATGAAGTCCACGACGACAGGGGCCGGTGCAGAGATGCATGCAACTTCGCTGCACCCTCCAACGGTCACTTAATCTTCCACGTTTATGGCGGTTAACACATAGCTATGTTGACACTCTGTGATTGCAGAAGATCGATCGAGATTAGACAAGCATGGTTGTGCCGGTGGCATGGAGCGTTCTTGCTCTCCACTTCCTTCAGCTGTTATTTGGTCGGGCCATTGCGTCGCCGCCTTTTCAAAGGCACGTCGTTCATGTCAAAGTGAACGACCGCACCATGGCATGTAGCCTGGAAGGTTGCCTCTTGGTCTGCAACATTGACCAAATCATGCTCAACGTGTGCGCCGCATTCCAAATCGACGCGCAATCGTGCGGCTTTGAAGATTGCCATCTTGTGTGCAACAACGGTGCCACACGGCACGACCTTTGCAAGAAAACCCACCTCAAAGGTGCGCGGCAGCTTTCCATTTCCACGCGCCAGCTAGGGGCGTCCATTTTCGTGGACGACGCCCCGCCCCTGTGGCCAAAGGTAGGTAGCCCATGATGCCTTCACAATGTCGCCCTATCGACCGCTGAAAACTCACCAGCGTTTGCTCAGGGTCAAATTTGCTACAAGATCGACGTCGACGTCAACGCGTCCGCGGTGAGATTTGCACTCTCTCACTGGCAAGCGACCACCCCCCTTCGCTTCATCCCGTGTCAAGAGGACGTACGACCAGATACTACGTCGTGTTGTGCTCCATGTGGAGACTACTTGCACTTTCAAAACGGCTCTGGGTGCTTCTCCTCTGTCGGGTACATTCCAGGGCTGTGTGGGACTGGCGGCCAGCCGCTCGTCCTTGCGGCGTCGCGTGGGATAGGAAACATCATCCATGAGATCGGCCATGCTGTCGGCCTCGTACATGAACACCAGCGCGCCGACCGTGACTCGTTTGTGAAAATATACCCCAGCAACATCGATCCTTTGTATTTGCCAGACTTTGACAAGGGCAAGCTGGGCGATTTGACAGTGTTTGGGGCCATCGACGATGGCAGTGGTGGCACCGACGGGGCGTACGAATACGGTTGGATAGCATCGATGCATCGTGTATTCACGGAATTGTAGATTACGATTCGGTGATGCATTATGGCCTGCATGATTTCTCGGTCAACAACCTCCAAACCCTCCTGCCCATCACGCCCACCGGACGCATTCGCGAAGACTGTTTCTATCGCGTCGGCCAACGCAAAGGACTTAGCCCAGGGGACGTTCAAATGATCCGTGGACTGTATCAAGGCGAAATCTTGACGACAACCACATAGTGTTTCGTGCAATAACTACATGTATGAATTTATTGACAATCCATGCTTCGTAGTGATAGAATATTTGCACTGGATGGCCACCACCAACGTGCTCTGTTACACGTCATTCACAGCAGGGGGTTACTGTAACCCCCTGCTGTGGGGGATAAGACGACGGCGACAACAGGTACTAACTATATCATTTAGGGTTCTACAGCTGATTATATCCCTGTTGTGGGGGAATTACTGGTGACAGTCGCACAGTCTGTCGCATGGTCGTGATTCAGATTAACCTTAGGAAAAATGTCATGATAAACTTGACCTACGAGATCTATAGTAAGGTACTATTACATGTACCGGTAGTACAGTATGAGTTTGAAATTTCCAAGAACTTGTACAGTTTGAAAAGGAACCAACGAACTTCTATAACGCGATGACAACACTGGTTGCGGGGCGCCAGCTTTTGAGGGTTCCGATGTGGTCACGATGCTGATGATCTTGCGGGCCGTCGACGTGCCGCGAGCACGTAATCGAATGCTAAATGAGCTCGACGTAGTACTTCTTTCAGTAACCGATTGCAAGGGTGCTGTACCGTAAACGATAGCAAGGCTGCCCGTTGGTGACTGCGCTAGATGCCGACAAGTCCGGTCGACATGCTACCTCGTGGACGTCGTTCCTTCGAACGATTCATGGGATCCTTTGCGCGGAGGAAAAGGGAGGTAGTTCGTTTTGCGGGTGGTATGGAGCTACCTTAGGTACATCTCTGCAAAGCACAGCTTCTAGCTTCAAATCGAGACAGTCAGTCGCGTGAAGTGGGCAACGCTTTGTGCAGAGGAAACCGAAACGCAGTATACCGCACAGTGGGGCCAACGAGATCGATTGTTGGGCACAATTGGTGGTCGTCGTTATTCACAAAACTGGTCAGTGTTGTTATAACGTTAGTTTGAGTTATTGGCGTGCTGGCTTGGAATGTGACCTCGGGCACTTTGAAGCAAAACCGAACGAGGCCGTGGCGGTGTTGCAAGGCAGCGCCAGAACTACGGACCGGCTCGAGTTCACATGCGTTTCATGTAATTCAGGATGTGCTAAAGACCACAAGACAACGAACGACCTTGCGTTGGTCCTACTTGTTTCTCACAAGTATTGGCCAACCACTACAGTATGCCGGCCCATGTGCTACTATCGACTGAACTCGAGCTCGTACAGACGACAGAACGTTACACCCACACGATCAAGTCCTGAAACAATCTCCTCGACTGGGTTAACCTGATTTCGGATACAAACATGCACACCATCGTTTAATCCACGTCATGATGTGGTTTCGAATGTTGGAGTTCATCCTTTTCTAAGCGCGCTACCAGTTCCATCGCAATCGTGTTCAATTCCGTGTTGTTCTCGCGTAAAACCTACACATCAACCAGTGACACGGTGGTGGTAGTCGCTACGAATCCTAACATGAGATACCGTGTTGTCTTGAGTCAACGTGAGGTTTGCAGCCTACGTACAGTACGCAATGCATGTCAAGGCACGGGGAATATCATCGAGATGAGACACAGTCGACCTCGAGGTCCTGCACGCGGCGTTGAAGGTAGCTCAGCGCGGCAGTCTAGAACAAGATTACACTGATGCATTCTTGTCTGGGGGTACGACATACCTGGTCACTCAGTTCCAGCACTTGGAGTTCGGCAGCGGCAAGCTTGAGGCGCTGAAATTACGAATACAGTTAGACGAAGTAACAATGGAACTACGTACGTATTCCGTTTCTCGTGCCGCGAGCTGCTCTCCTTGCCTCTGTAATGCTGCATTGAGGGACTCGACGTGCTCAATGTGTGTTCTATGACGTAGCCTTCGTCAGCCGACGATCGCTCGTAGAATGATGGATGGCCAAACCGAAGGTCGTCCACTTGCGTGGCACGAACACCCGCTCCGGCAAGTTGCCTCACGAGGTTTTCGTTTTCAGTGCGCAACGACTATTCAAGTTGTGACGAACTACGGATGAAACACCGGCACATGATACCTGGATGCCTGCGTTGGCATGGTCGAGGCTGGATGTTGTGTGTTGGAGCTCATGCTTGGCACGATCCAACAACCCCTTGAATGCTTCGTCATATTCTCTTCTCAACGCATCGAGATCTTCAAAGCTACACGCGTATCTGTTGCCATCATGCCGCCAACGACGTTACCATACCAGTTCATCATCGTCGTCGTCGTTCAAATTTCAAACGCGACACCCTTTTTTATCCGGATAAACCTTAACCGGATGAGAACATCTGGGTTATCAGGTACAGTACTTCAAGTACTAGATTTTGCTGCCGTGGCCACTAACTCGCTAATAAATTCGTCGCCTCGAACTCTTCCAAGCACACGTCAGCGTACGGTGCAGTGAATTGCCAGGCTTTAGTGATGGCTACAGTACGGCTACGCTTCATGACATTTCTTTTCGCTTAAGTGGGCAGTACGTAACGTTAGGACCGAAGTGTCCTTATCCGGATTTCGGATACCTTGGCTGGCTGTGGTTGGTTGGGTGATGGGACCAATGAATTGGCCCGGTCAGCAATAACCAACCAGAACAAATCTTCGGGTCATCTCTGCGCCGCCGCCATCGACATGTCCGCCTCCACGCATAAGGCCAAGCTTGCAGCGTTCAGTCCATGCCAGAGCTTCTTTGTCTCAATCTCCGACGACAACCGCGTCAAAGTCTGGGATGTTGTACGTCGATCTCGTCTTGCCCAATCTATCGCAGACGATTGAACCGTCGTCCATTAGGCATCTGGCTCGCTTCGGCAAGAACTGAAAGAGCGTGACCACTTGACGTACAAATACACGTCGCTCGCGTGGACCAAAGCTTCTCCATGGGCCGCCAGCAGTAGCAGCTCCTCTAAGAAGGGCACCAAGCGGTCGGCGACCAGCGACCTTGGCGTGCTGGCGCTGGGCACGACCACCGGCGCGATCGTCGTGTGGAACTTGGAAAAGGGCGAAGTGGGTGTCCGTCTGGCCCGCGAAACGGTACCGTTCTCCATCAGCATCACCACCATCCTTACCATGTAACTCACTCAAATAAACAGAGCGAGAACGGCCACGCCGCCGCGGTCACGGACATTGTGTTTGCATCGTCGGGCGCGACGTTGTTTTCGTCGTCGAATGAGAAAAACGTGTTGGAGTGGAACGTCAAGGACGCCAGCGTGACCCGCAAGTTCAAAGTCGGCTCGGACGGCGCGTCCAAGCTCGCGTTGTCCAAGTCAGATGACGTGCTCGCCGTCGGCAGCAGCAGCATCAAGCTGTTTGACGTTGCGTCGGGCAAAAAGAGCAAAAAGCTCACGTCTGGCCACGCCACGGCCGTGTCTCAACTGGCCTTTTCCGACTGCGCGCGATACCTGTTTTCGTCTACCGGCGAGCGCTTTATCAACGTATTTGACGTGTCTGCCGAGTCGACCGACCCGCTCTACAACTTTGCCGCCGATACCAGGTAACGTTACTTGGCTTTCCAACACAATATCATTCAGCGAGTGGTTGGTTGATGGACTTGTTTGTATCGCTAGCCTTGCGACGCTGGTGACGCGTGTGCTCGTGGCCAAGAAGGCCAAGCATTCGGTGGCCACTGTCGCGTCGGTTGCCGACAATGGCTCTGTGTTTGTGTGGCAGCATGCGATGACGTTGTCTTCCAAGCCCGTGCTCGCCGCCACCCAGATCACAGCGTCAGCGGCGGTCCAGTTGGCGGCATTCTCGGTCGACAACACCAATGCCGTCATCGTTGCGCGAGGGTCGATCCACAAACCGCACTTTGAAACCGTGGCGTTCGAAAAGGACGGCGCGATCGTGTCGGCGCATGTGACACTGTCAGCGTTGGACACGTCGTCACTGCTTGTCGCAAAGAAGGTAGTTACCCCTTGCAACTGAAATCTACACTTCCATATATATATGTGTGTGTGTATTGTCTGCAAACGACATGCGACAGGGTACCTATCAATTTTTTTTCGTGTAGAGCAAAGTGGAAAAGAATGCCGAGGACGTTGCCAAGAAGGGCGACGCGCACGTTCCGACGTTGGTCGAACGCGGCACGGCCAAAACATCGACGATGGTGGATGCCACCGCCGGGGCCGTGGTGGACGAAGCCGAAGAAACAGAAGAAACAGAAGACGACGACGAAGAAGCAACGCTGGAAGACCGGCTGCAGCTTCTCCGTGACGATATTGATGACAACGAAGACATTGAAGACGATGCGTTGACAACTGTGACACCGCGCCCCCATACGCTGAGCCGCGCCAAGGCTCAAGCGTCGTCAACATCCCTTGTGAGTGTGCTGGAGCAGGCGCTGCAATCCAAGGACAACGCGCTGCTCGAGCACTGCCTCCGCATCCATGATCCCAAGGTCATCGACGAGACGTGCCGCCGCCTCAACACCACGCGGGTGTTTCCGTTCCTGTTGCTACTCGTGGAAAAGTTTGAGAAGCGGCCCACGCGCGGCGCCACCATGTGCCAGTGGATCAAGTTCCTCATGCTCAACCACACGGCGTACCTTATGACCGTCCCCGACGTGATTGACAAGCTCAGCACGCTGTACCAGTCGTTGGACGCCCGCGTCAAGGTGTTCCCCCAGCTACACAAACTGTCGGGGCGGTTGAATTTGGTGCTTGGGCAAATCGCCGGCCGATCCAACGTTGAAGTGGTCGACGATGCCCCGGATGTCGTGTACAACGAAGCGGACGACTACGAGGAAGACGAAGAAGAAGAAGAAGAAGAGGAACACGACGAGGAAGACGACGACGATGAGGAAGACGACGAGTAAACAATAGATTATAATAGCTAAACACGCACGTATTATGGTAATTGTTGAACGTGACATGGCAACCCCCCCCCGCTGGCCCCCTTTGACGGACGATTATGCGATACAGTAATTCGTCGCGTCGTTTGGATCGCAACGTTATTGACATGGCAACCCCCCCCCGCTCGCCCCCTTTGACAGACATTTATGCG